GAGCCCTCTAGCATTTGCATATATTTTCTAATGCCTGTTGAGTTTCCAGCTGGCAGGTAGGCTAGTCTTTGAGTATCTACTGCACGCAGATTGATGGATGGTGTTTCTCCGCAGCAGCTGGCTGCACGTCCAGAGGATCCTCTGAGGTGTTATTCTATAGTGGGTTTGCGCTTGTTCCTGTGGGATTTGAGAAACGCACTCTTCTTCCTCTCTCAAAACAAAAGAAATCTGCCTTGCCTGTCTGTGTCTGAGCACCTGGTGATAATTTAAGGCAGCCAGCGTGAGCCTGTCTGACCCTGTGTAACTGAGCTGCGTCTCAAGGATGATAAATCAGCTTCAGTGTAAAATCTCACTGAAAAGCTTCCACTCTTTTTCTGACATTTTTCCAGACAGGCCGAAGAAAGCACGGCCGTCCATTTTGGCAGACATCATATTATGATAACTTGCAGTGCCTTTCTTAATAAGAATCACATGGTTTCAATTGTGTAACTTTTTCTGTCTTTGCCTTGAAGAGGAATACAGTTATTTTAACAACAATACAACAAAACGTTTAGAATTTAAGTATAAGCAACACACCCACAATTTGATTCTATCAGAGTTGACAGGTTCTGAAAGGATTATAGACCAAAGCAAAGAATCATGAATTGCAGAGGGAAGCTTGATTCCAGGAAGGCGAGCACTGGAGAGTTCAAATCTGTTTTGAGAACCACAGAGTTCCCAAAACAGGCGATAGTACTCAGTGGGATGCCAAACCAAAAATCGTCTGCGGCCTACAGCTTTTATCGCCTTCCAGAGTTTTTGTGGGAACCGCAGATTCTCTCTGACACCTCCAGCCCTCTTCTTTTCTTTTCTCATTGGAAGGTAGTCAAATCATTCAGTATTTATTTATTTATTGTCTGGGATTCCTGAAGCCAGTCTTCATGGAGAACATGAAGTGCCCAATCATGCCTTAAGTTTAAACAAATCTAAAAAGCATGGGGACTTGGTTATGTCAGTTATTTTGTGCTGGGTATTGTTTAGTCTTCTCCATCATTGACTTCATCCAGCCCATGTGAAGACTTTGATGAGCTGGTGTTGATCTTTTGATGACATGTTTAAAAAAACATCATGTTTTAATGTTTATATGAGGAGATATTTTGGTGTTATGGTCACACATTAGCCCCGTTTGACATTATGGTTAAACCGAAAACAGTTTAAAGATGAGAGATGTGTTGCATTCGCCTCTAAACAAGCTCTAATTTCAACGTGCTGTGAGGCAAGATGAATAGCAATCATGCCTTTCATCTGCTCTAATGATTATATGTTGGTCAACATATGAATCTAAGCAACAGTCGATAACATTTTGTCAGAAATATTTCAATGATCTCACTAGAAATATGCTATTTTTACCCATCAAACATGCATTTCAAACCCTCACTAAACATACAAAAACGGTTTAGTTTTTGGAAAAGTTGGAATCCTGGACACACATTGTCCTTTTCACTTAAAAGTCATTTTAAGAGAATGTTTTTTTTCCCACTTGCATTACCACCATTGGCTTCCAATTGTGCGGTCACAAAGACGTACGTATATATTTGAAACTCTGATTCAAAGTGAGCATGGAAAAACTTCCCTCCTTCAGCTGCAGAATGTGAGAACAGAGTTTTGGTGTGAAGGTCAAATATCCAAGTGAAAAACAAAACACGTTTGGGAAGAGGGGGGACCTTACAATACCCAGAATGTTAAGCTTCAGTTGGATAATGAATGTAGACTTTGTGACAGAAAAAGTTGAAGTAATAATATAATGTAATATCATATTATATATTATTATTCCAATTCCGAAAAGATACATATTTTGATATTTTTAAGGCTCAGGGGGAGTGTCATGGAGGACGGGTAACACAGAAGAGGGGGGAGTGTGTGTGTGTTCGGGGGGGATAACATAGACGAGCCCACAGCAGCTTACCCAAACTTGCATTACATCTGGGTTGCGACTATCATACGATGGTTTGTCTTCTGTTTGCATTCTTCGTGGCATTCTGCCGGCTTCAGTGATCTCATGGAATGCACATGGGATTTCTCTGCAAGAAAACATTTTGCACTCGACCGCTCTCTTACGCAGACCGGAGTTCAACGTGGGTCCATTTGAATGAATTTTATGGAGAAATACAACCTTTTTCCATGAACTGTACATCATGGGATTTGGGATGTGATGCAAGGCGACTGGATTGATGCCGTACTGAATGGGAAAGATGTGGATACCTTTGTTGATCTGGATGCTGCACCTCATGATTCTTACAGAAGGCCAAGATAACACAAGACGTAAGTATGATTAACTTGTCAGCCTCACCTCTCTAATGCTTATGCTCTGCAAAGCTTCTGTAAAATGTGCCTTATCTTTCCCCATTTATCTAGTGTAACATAGTCAACAGTAGACCGACCCTACATATGAACATAATAAGAGTGCTTTCAGGGAATAATGTACTCAATGATTTCTATTGGTTTTACCAACTTGCACACTATGAATTTGAAAGCATCGCTCTGTGCTCTCATAAAGCACAGCGTTCCTGAGTATTTTTAATCTATTGTCTTTTTACAGGCTTAGGAAAAATCTAAAATTCCGGCTGTGTTTTTTTAGACGGACGCACTAATTTCATATCTGTTAATCCGCAGGAAGCTCCTCTGTGAGCAGGGTCTGTCCTGCAGGTTGCGTGTCATGCTCTGCCCTGAACGGCTGTCTGTCCTGCAAACCTCGCCTCTTCTTCCACTTGGAGCTGGACGGGATGCGGCAGAGGGGCTCCTGCCTGTCCTCCTGTCCCCGGGGTCACTATGGCAGGCGCTTTCCACACATAGGCATCTGCACAAGTAAGTCCATACACATCTACGAGTGATGGAAAAATGTTAAAGTAAAAGTTTAATTGTTTTTTTTGTTAATTTCACGATTAAAAATATTAAATACACCTCACATAAATGACATTATAAGAGTGTAAAGGTGTGTTAGAAACCAGAAAATGGATTACAAAAAAAAAGAAAAAACACAGCAGGAGCAAAAAGGTACAACAGGTAAAATATAAACATACAGAAAAATGTATATATTTCACATTTATAATAGGTGTGGGAGGAGTCATTTCAAGTTATTGTACACAAGGCACCGCTTATCAACTGAATATGTTACTCTTAATTTTTAGCTAAATGAAATAAAAAAATAAATGCTTATTTCTGTATTATATCGTTAGAGCAGCTGTACCACTTTTTTAGTGCAAACTGATTAAAGTCAGTGTTAAGAATATCAAACTAACGACAGTGTGGTCACTACCCTTTTATTTATACAGTCTTTGCTGACCAGTTAATTTCCCTTGATCTGCAGGGTGCAAGGATGAGTGCGCTTCCTGTTTCAGTGAACATTTCTGCACTCATTGTCACCCGGGTCACTTCCTGTTCGGGGGGAAATGTGGAGACAGCTGTCCAATCGGGTTCACTGCTAACACGGTGCTCCGTGAATGCACAGGTAAGGCACTGTGTGTTCTCATACAAGTCTTCCATGATACTGGGGGTCTACAGTACAATTTGATGTGTTTGTGTCCCTCAGTGTCAGAGTGCTGTACAGGCTGTGAGGTGTGTGTAAGGAGGAACATGTGTGTGAGGTGTAGAGCAGACCTATACTTTCTCCACGGCCAATGTCATCTCACCTGCCCCAAAGGATTCGAGCCGGATATGCAGCTTATGCAATGCACCCCCCAAGGTGAGAGAAAATCAAAAACTGTTTTCACACAGCTGAGATGTCAAATACACTGTCTTTTTCATGTCTCGCTACCTGTAAGCAGTGGTGTAAAGTAACTAAGTAAATGTACTCAAGTACTGTACTTAAGTACAATTTAAAAAAACTTGTAGTTTACTTATTTCAATTTTATGCTACTTATTGCTTCTACTCCGATACCATTCAAAGGGAAATCATGTACTTTTACTCCACTACATTTATTGAATACCTTTTAGAAACTTTACAGATTTGGATTAATTAGGTGAAATATAATCAACACTTAAATAAGACTTTAGTTGCTTATCTTTCTCACGATCATCCTCTGTCTTTATAGTCCACTGCGAGGTTGGAGGATGGACAAATTGGGGTCCATGTATTCGGAGAAGCAGCGCGCGGCCCTACAGGAGGGGACAGGAGACGCGTGACCGACAAGTTCTGAAGTCTCCGAGTGTCTCCGGTGACCCCTGCCCCCCCGTGTCACAGATCAGGAAGTGTGTCAACAGAAAGAGACCAAAGAGTCCAAGTGGGTTGTATTAGGTTATAAAAGAGCCCCCATACAGACTATTTGTTGATATGGCAGAGGTATTCAACTTTTCTAAATGCAGAGATGTATTCATCTAAAATAAAACCGATTTTTCTATGCAAACCAACAGAAATGGGAAAAAAATGGATGGATGATTGTGTTGATATCTTATAAAATGTTTGTGTTCCAGTGTTACATTTAACACTGTTGGAGTAAGCTGAATCAGAGACATTTCATATATAGTAGTGCTTTTGATGCAACTTGTCGGTAACCATAGAAGATTGTAAAAGTATTATTACTGATACTGCTTTACTAGACTGATCAGTTTATGCCTTAATGCAGCTTGTTGGGGAGGACTCTTTTAAAAAAAAAAAATGAAATAATGAATTACTATAAACCAAACTTTTATAAAGCCTTTGATGAGTACCATGTCATGAATCTGTTTAAAGATCATATACTGTATCATGATAAATAAATGCGTAGACCCTGACGCACGGTACGTACTGTGCGCAGCTGTAGTAGATCTACAGATCATGTGGAGTTGCAATGTTGGACGCAGTGAGGCCGATCCAGCAGCACTGAAATCAGATGGGCTTGGCTGGAATACTTCACCTACCGACAATAAGTCAATACTTGGCGTTCATAACTTTATAGTCAAATATGAAGGCAGCTTTATGAATTGTTCCCACCTGAGCATCTGCTGAGGACGTTTCAAGAAGTATCCCAGTGTTCAGGTGGGTGTATCTGTAAATAGAGAAGTTAAATAGCCTGGAAGCACACTGACAGCTAGCATGCTAACTGCGTATGCTAAAGCAGCTGTCAAGTTAACGTTAGCGAGGTGAATGTTATTTCTGACATTGACTTTAGAGTTTCTTCGTCAAAGTGTTAGTGCATATTAAAGATACGAGCCTTTAGCGTCACTGCTTGGTATAAAACACATTGAAATGTAACAAGTAGCAAATGACCGAGTTAGCTAGCATAGCAGTAGTCAGGTGGCTAGCTCTGTCAGACTGCAGAAAATAGGCCTTTGAGTAAGTTTGTAATACAATCGGGCTACAATCATGGCTGCCCGCTTTCCCGGCATGTAATATTCACATTTCTTAAACTAGTATGATTTGAACACTTTGTTTCACAATAGAAACCATACATTTATGTTTTGTATTTGGGCGTTCACAAAACTATAAACAGAACAGAATATGTCCAGTGGGACCAGCACCAAACTGCATGTTGTTTTAATTTAAATTCAAGTGTACACATTACAGTTATGTATAATAGTGCAAGTCTTACCATGCAGATCTGTTGTGACACTGGTGTGTTTCTCTCTGTAGTATGGCAGGCTGTGGAGGAGTGGACTGTTCAATGGATGCTTTGGCTCCTTCCAAGCTGATGGAGGAAGTGGGAGATAGTTGTTCTGCAGACCCTTCCAGCTCCTCCATCGTCAACCCGGAGTGTTCCATCTGCCTGCAGAGCTGCGTCCACCCTGTACGCCTCCCATGCTTCCATGTCTTCTGCTACCTGTGTGTCAAAGGTGCCTCCTGGCAGAGCAAACGCTGTGCTCTCTGCCGACAGGAAGTCCCAGAAGACTTTCTGGAGCGGCCAGTTCTCCTCTCACCTGAAGAACTGAAAGCAGCAGCTTCAGGGGTGAGCCAAGCTGGGGGGGCTGGGGGCGGCTCCCGTGGAGACTATGCGTGGTACTATGAGGGACGCAACGGCTGGTGGCAGTATGATGAGAGGACCAGTCGTGAGTTGGAGGAGGCTTTCGCTAAGGACAGGAAGAGCACAGAGATGCTAATTGCGGGGTTTCTTTATGTGGCAGACCTGGAGAACATGGTGCAATATCGCCGGAATGAGCATGGCCGCAGACGCAAGATAAAGCGGGACATTGTAGATATCCCCAAGAAGGGAGTTGCAGGACTAAGGTTAGACCCCGAACCTGCCCCCATTGCTACTGTACCAGTTGTCCCCCCAGCTGCAACAGAACGCATCAGCTCAGCTGATGGATCGGACACTGATGGCCCATCACAGTCTTCTTCCTTTGGGATTATGGCATCTATTCCTCCTGTTAGACCTCCAACACTCCTGGGGCGCCATCTTACCAGTCCCCTTCTTGCCTCATTACCAAGCGTGGAAGAGTCTTTATCCCAGCTCCTTATCAGCCAGCCAGAGGGTGAAGACGTGGAAGGAGATGATGAGCTACAGGTGTATGAGTATGCATCCGGCAATAGTGACAGTGAGGAAGAAAGGGAGTGCGAGAGAGCAGAATCTATACCTAGACATAGGCAAAGACCGCTAGAGAACCAGCCAGCCAGGATGCCTCCGAGGGGGGGGCCCTCAAGCTCTGCAATCAGTCTGCGATCACGTAGTCCTGATGGACAGTGCACTGTCACAGAGGTGTGACTGGTTTCTGTAAACTTCTCTCTGAAACTTTGATCAGGTTGGCAAAACAATTCTCAAAACTAATATGCATCATTAAGGGTCCCAAGAATGAAGAAACTTTATTGTGTTGTGATTTGTGTTATTGGGTGTATTTTGTCCCATCAATCGCGTGCCAAATAAAATACGAAATGTATTTTACTTATTTTTTATAACAAAACATTATTTGGTCATTGAAAATGACTTCATCCAATTGATTGTAATATTAGTTTTCCCTGCAGGTCTATAGAGGTAACTAGCAGTAGCAGCAATAACATAGTTCACAGCAGTGTACTTAGATGTTAGTTTGATAAAAAACAATTTTTTTTTCCTTTTTAATGGGATGCTGTCAAATGATCTGTATTTGTGATGGGAGGGGGTGCGGCTGAATGCCGGGAAATTTGATTACAATTCAATTAAATAAGCATACCTTTCTATGTGTGTTTCCCCCCAAATAAGTTCACTGTTAAAATATTTGTATTAGTTTTTACTGTGCAAGCTTAACTCTTATGACAACATTATAGCCATTTCAAGAGACCTTTCACACATGACTAAAAGCCTCTTGTGAAAGGACTTCCAACGCTAGTTTCAGACAGCAATATACTGTATACTGGCAGTTACACTCTCATCAACATGTTATAATGAAGCATAACAGTCTTGTTTTAGGGATAAAAAGGGGTGATTAACTTTGGCAAGGGTTTTTGGTCAATGTTGTCCAAAAACTACCATCTGTCACTGCCTTTACATCAGTTTGTGACTGCAGTTTGTGAAATGTAACAAATTAGTCTTTTTTTCTCTGATGTTTTGACTTCATGGTTGATTGATATTTGTATAATGTTATTTTTCTTTCTCTTTGTGATGATGTGAACATCTTAAATGTAGCAGCTTACAGTTACAGAGGGTTAAAACTGCCTTTTCCTGCTTTTATTAGTAGGAACAGATTCATATTTAAACTGGAGTTTGCTGTGTGTATATGTTAAAGACCTTATTCTCCCTATTTTAGTGTGAAAGTCTTGTTTGAGTTATGACATCTGTGTTGTTGTGAGAGGGGTTGGGTGCTGAAAAGCTACTGGCAAAACCACTGGAAAGTGTTGAGCTATATATGTAGAGACACATTTGGATTTCTATTTCTCGTCATAGTACTCTGGATAGGGCCACTATCAGAGCGCTGGCACTGACATGTTCTTGGATGGTCTTTAGCTGTCCTCACTCCCTCTGATTCTTCCCTTTCTGCCTCAGCTGCTATTATTTTAACTGTCAACTTTTCACTGTTTGTGTCTCACTGTCTGAATGACCCAATAGAAACTTCCATCCTTGTGCTGTTTTGTGAAGTTATTAAATATATATCATTTAAAATCATATGTTGTATGAGTTATTTTGTTATATTTAAGGATACATACAACAGTTATGGGAAGCCTGGAAACAAAATGGCACTGATCCATAGGCCTGTTTGCAATGTGTGCTTATCTTAGTCTACATGCAGTACCTTAAACGTCCACATTGTGGAGCTGTTGCATAAATGAAGTAGTGTTTTACCCACGTGTTACGGACACTTTCAAGCTACAGAACGATGGTGTGGTTGAAAACCTGCTAATTAGATGACATGTTTACCTCAATGCTTTCCCTTCATATATCTGTTTTTTTTCTGGTCTTGTCAAACACTACCAATTGTGGCTGTGGGCCTGTGATAACTTCCTACTCGGTTACTTGTGCTGACTCAATTATGGCCTTCCAAAAATACAGGTTTGTGGAAAGATAAGACTTTGTGCAAAACCAAGACTATTGCCACCAATGGAACTAAAATTCAGCATTTTCCATCCGAATAAACTAAAGGCTCAGTTTGTGCAGATGGACTGTGACTTGAATTAGAAACACTGCTTAATGAGCCAGACTTTGGCCTGTGCTTTTTCAGAGCTTCAAAATGTAGGCTACCCTGTAACTCAAATGACAATTGAATGGGATAGGTTCAAGAAAAAAACAATACCTACATTTGATTTATGATTTGAATTTGTATGGCAAATTCAAATCATAAATCACACACTTATTTAACCCAAACGGTATCCAACAACCATCCGCCTCGGGATCATTAGTAACTATTAGAGAACACTTATTTAACCCAAACGGTATCCAACAGCCATCCGCCTCGGGATCATTAGCAACTGTTAGAGAACCACAAACGTTGCCATCCATTGAACCACGCTGCTAGACATTCACTTCAGAGTAGCAACTGACCATGACAACTCATGTGGAGCGCATACACACCATTTCTATGGTCAAAGAGACAAAGACACTAACTATTTTTTTCTCGCAGGACACACTGACAGTCTGGTGTGAGACCCATAGCTGTTACTGTTACAGTTTTGCCCCCTTGTGCGTAAAAACTCCAACGGAGCACATGTAGGTGGTGGAAAATTGCTCTAACACAGGGGTGTCCAAACTTTTTTCACTGAGGTCCACATACAGAAACATGTACAAAGGACTGGGCCACTCACTTATATTGCCTCATAAATTCAGTTATAAGTTAGCAAAATCAATCAAATGTAGATACATTATGCTTGTGGGTGTTGGCAGCTCATCCCTTAAAACAGAAGCCTCAGATTGATTATAATAAGGGGAAATATGAAGGGTATTTATCAAGCTTGTTATGTAAATAAGTCATTGGGCTTTTTTCTTATCAACTAAGATATGTTAGAAAATGTTTCCAACTTTAATTGACTGAATTTATTTGAAAATTGAGCTTATTAACACATGAATACTGTGTTATATATTTGAACATATATATTTAAGAAGCATAATAGAAGACAAGCACAAGTTTATTATACTTAAGTCGTTATACTTGAATTTGCTGAGGGCCGATTCAAAATGGTCTGCGTGCCGCATTTGGCCCCCGGGCTGTAGTTTGGATTCCCCTACTCTAACATATTTGTTGGTGACGTTTCTGACTGAAGGCCACATGTTGTGTTTACCACTGCTATTCAAGGCAATGAGCATGCTGATAATATTCAATTACTTAGACAAGAGTAAAAACATTTAAATAGACTTATAGAGCACGTCTATGTGATTAAAATGGCAGGTGACACTCATTAAGACCCAAATGTCTGTTTTGTGGATATAAACTGGCCCCTGGCTGCCTCTCTTTTTCCACAAGTGGCCCCCAAGCAGAGCAAGATGAGTATCCCTGCTGTACTGTATTTAGGTACATCAAGAATATAGCATATGTTATGTAGGGCATAACATTAACTGGCATGCTATATCAGACACTGACAGGTTTACATGTATATGACATGGAAACAGACTGTGTTTAGATTCAACATGTATAGGATAGTGTCTGTCAATGCGAAGGACAATTATGTTGCACCAGAGTTAAATGAAGACAGAATTTGAGTATGTGTCTTTTACATGATAGCGCCAGTCATAGTTACACAGCCAGACAGGCAGACAACACTACTACATGTTTTCAGACACATGTTTGGCCTTTAACTCCCTCATATGTGCTATCATATCCTGGTCAAATACCTTCTGTAGCCTCCCGCTTCACACTACAGAAAATACACGGGCTGTCTCCAATCCCTCCACAAATAGTCCCGTCATCCCCACATCTTTCGCCACCCCGAGCCCCACAGTGGAGAATTGTTGATTATTTATGACCTTGTTTTTATTGTACAAGGTTGAAAGGCCTTCAGCATTACGTGTATGTGTTGTTTGTTGTGTGAGAAAATGAAAAAATGGGCTTGGATATTGATAGCCGGTCTCCCTTAGTGTAACATATTCGGTATCTATCTTAGTATACTGGTGCATTTTAGCATTTAGTGGCTGTGCGTGTTGTGTGCGTACAAGTATGTCGTCATTATTTCTCACCATAATGCTGAGATTCACAGACAGGGTATCTCAGTCCTGCAGGAGCCAGGAATGACTTCACTTCTACTGTAACCATCATCAAGCTAACACCATTAGAGCAGATCAAGTGACGCGCCCCGCTGAGCCTGGTGCTACTGGACCATTTATATCAGCGATGCGTCACAACATTACTATGATGACTTCTGTAATCGTAAAGTTTATATTATTGGTATTCTCCATTTCTAAATACAGTACCATATGACTGCAGAGCCGTATTTGCAATCAAAAGATGACAGGTGAGATATAAAAATGGAACACATGGTGTACACTTGGGCCACTTTACTATATATGCTGTGCAAGCCTGTCTATCCGAAGTAAAATACAAATAGATCTGCCTACCAACACCTTCATGTAATTGTCAAACATACACCTCATCTGTCTTCTAGTGTAACATTAAGTTTTGATTTAACAGGGGAGTCTCATGCTGTAACTATGTCTTGGTGGGGTGAAGTGACTTCCTGGAGTCATGCTGGTTGCCTCTGATACTCTCCCGTTTTCAGTCGTTATGCTATTCTAAGCTAATCAGCTGCTGGCACTAGCTTGCTTAATGGCATACAGACATAACTGAAGACAATGAATTTGTACATCTTTAGTGAAAAGCGATCAAGTTATTTTGTTGTCATTGACTTCATTAAGGTAGAATTTATTGCAGGGCTGTTGAATTGGACTGCATTAGTTTAAGCTATTGTACCATGAGCTGGCAACTGAGTGTGGATGTGTAATGATAAGTGGGCTTATCGCTGTAATCATCATGCTCATTGTCACCTTGAATCCCGACACTAAAAATAACCCAACAAGGCCCATAGTCAGGCACATTAGCACTTAAAATGTCAGAGCATTTATCAACTACCTACATGTGCTCCATTGGAGTTCTATGTATTGTGGGAAATAGTTGACACAATTTGCACTCAGACTGCGGTTGAAAGCTCTAAGAAATTATATTTGATATATTTTCCTTAAGACTTTCACGTATACAGTTATGCACGAAGGACAATGCTAACTTGGGTCTGTCATCACTTTAAATATTGCAGCAGCAATAATTGTGGGATGGCATTATCTCACTTCCTTTTGTAAAGGATAGTGTACCCTACTCTAAACAAGATAAGAAAGGCAACATTGAAGGGTTTTTCTTTCAAACTCAACCAGCTCTTAACATTACTGACAGACTTAATTCCTCCGGGCTAAAAGAGTGCGTGCGTTTGTATGTGTGTGAAGTGAACATGTTTGCGTAGGCCACAGGCCAGACAGCGTGCCTCGTAGTGTCCCAGCGGACCGCTCCACTGAAACCAAATTAAAATTGGTAATTCGTCACACGATAAATAGACCACTATAGTCACCTCTGCCGGGCAACACCAGCTAATCCTACGAGAGCACCCCGCTCTTGTTTTGAAAGGGGAGCTTCAAGGGTTGTCTTTCAAAGAGGAGATATTTGTGCCCCATTCTATTTTAATGGAGGTCTGAAATTCTTAAGAACGCCTTTAGGGTCCTCTCGGCTGTCCTTGATGGTCCCAACTCTTGTACTGCCGCACTCATCATGTGGCATTTGAGATCCCAATTTCAATGGACGGACCCAGACACACTGACAGTTCGGACATGTCAAGGAAGATGGAGCGAGCAGGATTGTGACACGAGCTACTGTCCGACAGATGGGAGGTTTCGTACTTTGTTGATAAAGTGGGTGAAAAATTGAAGTGTAGAGTGGTGGGATTAAAAGTACACCTTTGGTCTAACAGTGTTGACCCCTACATTTGTAATTTAAGCCTTCAACACTAGATGAACAATAGCTTGTTGGGCTTGTTATTGATACAGGTTTTCAAGATGAATAGGTCCAGCAACAACCCCATGTGACCCCAAGTCTAGCTTTCATTGATCTTAATCAACGGAATCGTTGGTATTATTTCATAACATATTTGTGATATACAAATAGAGGGCAGTCAATTTTTCTTGATGTCAGGTGTGCATCAACGTTTTTTACTTCGGCTTCTGAAGGAACCACATAAGCTCTTTGAGATGGCAAAGCAGGTGTCCATTTGTTTACGAAACCAAGCATGCGCATGTCAGGCAAGCCCCCAGGAAGTGCGCAGGACTCTGTGCCCAACATTAGTTGTGTCCAAACCATGGATGTATAATAAGAACTGGATACAGCGTGGGAGGCGGGGCCTCATTCATTCCTATGAGAGTTGCTCAATCGCGCATGATGACAAAATGGCCCAACTTTTGAGAGAGCGAAACGTCACAGATTACCCGGCATGCCTGAGAAGTACCCGTATGTGCGCTCATAGCGCATGCGCAACTTTAAACATGCCCCCCAAAATGCTCGCTCACATCAAGCACGTCAATTTGCGTACACGTAACAGCACCGCGCGTTCATGACAGCATGGTAATGGGTTGTTATGATGGATTTGATATTAACGACGAGGCGGCAGTTAGCAGCTAGCGGCTAGCTAGTAATTATGCTAATT